GTCAGCTTTCCTGCTCCTCTGATGCTGCTTGGCCTGCTGTGTTCATCCAGCTCTACACCTTGTTATCTCTATTTTCTAATCAACCCAGTTCAGAGATTTATTACGCACCTCTGAAACAGGTAGGACATGAACCTGAGAGCCTTTTGGTTCAAAGGAAGGAATAGCACCACTACACTACAAGACCCTAGGGCATGTACAGATAAGCTCAGCCACTAAAGCCCAATCAGTTTAATTGTGGTCATGGGAAAACTAATAGAAAGGATAAACCCAGGACATTAACAGCTATTTGGACAAATGTAGATTTCTTAACAGCAAATTGTAGCTAACAAACTTGATTGAGCTTTATCATTAGGGTAATATTGTTGGTGTGATGTACATGGACTTCTAAAAAGGTGTTTGGTGGTGCCAAGTAACAGGCTACTCAAAGTTAAATCCCAACAAATGAAGGAAATAGTAGCTGTATAAATATGAAGTTTGCTGAGTAGTGGTGAATGTATTGTTTTCATTCAATTGGTTGACATTCAAATCTCAAAGTGAAATAGTATCATTTTCTAGTACTGATGTTAGTCACCTTAGCGTTAATTAAGAGAAAGTCAGATAAGCAGCATTCATTGTAACACCAGTAGCAGATTATTGAGTGATGCAATTATGTCGTCATTGGCTACAGTTCTATTCTGAAAGTGCTCTGTATTTTCTTTGGTTTTAATTGACAATTACATTTAACATAGACAATTTTTTATTGTAAGTGTGATGCTTTTGAAAAAGAAAATAGTTAAGCAGATGAATGGATTATCTGACAGATGTATATGCCTCAATACCGGCACACAACCACCATACGTACACATAAAACATGTTTCATGAATTGAGGTAAAACGCAATAACTCAAGTGGTACATACTTTCCTCTTTATTCCACTGGAGACTTTCTTTGTTGATTTCTGGAGATATTCCTTCAGTTCGAGAGCTTTTACAATACTGCCAAAAAATACAGGTCAGTTTATTTCTAATTTCAAACATTGTGGATAGTACCCTTGAAGTAAAACAAATTTTATGGAAGATGCAATTTCCTTCACAACTTTTCATGCAGTACACAAAATCTGACAGTGATCGGAATGTTATTAACTTGTTTGAAGACTTTTTTCATTTAAATTTATGACATTAGAACTGCTGTTTTCTTACCGTTTGATAGCATTTGCTGCATCTTCTGTACTGAGTCCCTTGATGGCAGCATATATCTCTAGGTGTTCCTGCACAGTAAGCTTAGGCCAGAGTGGGTTCACCTGTGCACAATAGCCTATACTTTCTACAGAGCTTTCTCTTTGCAAATATTCAGTTGAATAATCCCCCATCAATACCTATAAAACAACCATTTTAAAATTAAGTGACTTAAGCATATTTCAAAGAAGTCAGATGAGTTCAAGTAATGAAATATCAACAGAATGCATGAATCCGTTAATTGTACAGTTCATTCCCAGAAGTTCTGCTTGAGGTCAAACTGGCCTAAAACTATATTTGGTGGGATAAATCACTAAATGCTTCTTCTGTTTCACTTTCAGCTGCATTTATTGGCAATGCCACTGCTAGATGGAGCTTACAACTTGTGTGCACGGTGAAAGAGTTGCACCTAACGGAATGTGACAAAAATGTCTGTTGTTCCAAAATTTGTTCCAAGCAGTTTCTTAACATTAAATTTTAAGCAAGCAATAAGATCCAGGAAAACAGCAAAAATTATAATCAGTCTGCAAATTATTTTGTAAATCAGCACAACTGCTGACATAAAATTGTAACTCAAAAGCTATTTAAAAATTGCTGTGTTTTTCTGGATCTTACAACTAGTTTAAATTTTAATGTTACGCTGACATGAAACTACAGGTGTAACTGCACGTGTGTAGATGGATCAGTGGCTATTTGTGTGTTGGAAAATCCACTGTTCACTTTATTTTTTTTTAGGAAAAGGAAATCAGTGTAGATTTAAATTGATGTGGCGAATGCACAACCTTTGCAAGAATTTACTCCACAAAATGTCTAACGAACCAAAGAATTTACACTAGCTGTGGGAAGCAGAACAACCCAGATGATCTGGAGGCCTGCGACCAGCAGTGTGCCACAAGGATTGATGCTGGGTCCACTGCTTTTTGTCATTTCATATAAATGATTTGGATGTGAACATGGGAGGTATGGTTAATAAGTTTGCAGATAACACCAAAATTGGAGGTGTAGTCGACAGCAGAGAAGGTTACTTCAGAGTACAACCTGATCTTGATCAGTTGGGCCAATGGGCACAGGAATGGCAGATGGAATTTAATTTAGATAAATGCTGCATTTTGGAAAGGCAAATCAAGGCAGGTCTTATACTCTTAACGGTAAGGTCCTGGAGAGTTTTGCTGACCAAACAGACCTTGGAATGCAAGTTTGTAGTTCCTTGAAAGTGGAGTCGCAGGTAGACAGGATAGTGAAGGCAGCGTTTGGTATGCTTGATTTATTGGTTAGTACATTGAGTATAGGAGTTGGGAGGTCATGTTACAACTGTACAGAACATTGATTAGGCCACTATTGAAATACTGCATGCAATTCTGTCTCCCTGCTATAGGAAGGATGTTGTGAAACATGAAAGGATTCAGAAAAGATTTACAAGAATGTTGCCAGGGTTGGAGTGTTTGAGCTATAGGGAGAGGCTAAATAGGCTGGGGCCATTTTCCCTGGAATGTTAGAGGCTGAGGGGTGATCTTATAAAGGTTTATAAAATCATGAGGGGCATGGATAGGGTAAATAGGCAAAGTCTTTTCCCTGGGGTGGGGGAGTCCAAAACTAGAGGGCATAGGTTTAAGGTGAGAGGGAAAGATTTAAGAGGCACCTAAGGGACAACTTTTTCATGCAGAGGGTGGAGCCTGTATGGAATGAGCTGCCAGGGAAGTGGTGGAGGCTGGTACAATTACAACATTTAAAAGGCATCTGGATGGGTATATGGATAAAAAGGGTTTAGAGGGATACGGGCCAAATGCTGGCAAATGTGACTAGTCTTATTTAGGATACCTGGTCAGCATGGACCAAAGGGTCTGTTTCTGTGCTGTACATTTCTATGACTCTCCTGCTTCCCCTACAGCTCAAAGTTTGAGTTGGGGAGCAACTGGAGACATTCTTGTCAGATACAGCAAGCTGAAGGGTTCCTGGAAATACACACTTGATGATGTGACCACCAAACTATAATTAAACTAGGTGTGGGTAACAATGAGGAAACAACTGACTTAGAAAAGAACTAACTGTTGGAAGTTTGCACAGACTTGTAAGCATATTTCTTTGTTCATCACCTCAAAAAGACAGTTTGGAAACAAGAAATTTTAAAACATCTTCTGGGTAAAAGCTAGTGGATGGTGTTATCAATTCAGGATCAATTCCATTCCAGTTTGTTGTCCTGTGGTAAACATTTATTTTATTAACTGGTTGTTGGATTGTGGTGCAAAATTGAGACCTTTCATTTGTCCAATGCTGAAACTATCAGACTACAAAAAATTGGAAATTCTACAGTAGATGCAACCCACTTTCAAGATGCCTTAAATTCTCCATTATTTAGTCATAAGCATACCTGACCAGCTGATGGTTCCAAGTCACCTGTGAGCACGGAAATAGTAGTGCTTTTTCCAGCACCATTTGGGCCCAATAATCCCAGAACTTCACCTGAAAAGATATACAAATCTAGAAGCTGAAGCCTTTTGTGCAATGTAAACTTCTACCGCAATGTAAACTTCTACTGCAGTAATTTTCATTTCATTTTGAATACAGCTTGTGTCAGTGCAGTGTATTGAGAAGGATGATCAAAGAAATCCCTTTGAGTAGGTCACCTGCAGTGTGCACAGATTTAAGATGACCAGAAGGTGTCTTAGGTGTTTCTAGTGTACTTTCAAGATGCAAAGATGCCAGAAAGCAGACTATGCTCTTCATTATCGCAGTTGGAAAAACCCATCGCTACTTTCAGAAAAAGGAACACTTCAGAACTGACATCCAAGATGTGGTTATAGGCCGCAAATGGTGTTGTAATGGAAGTACGTAAATGAATGATCGAATTGAGTGATATAAAGAATGAAAATTGTTAAAAATTGGCCTGAATACTGGGTAAACCTTACACATGCTTTACCCAGATCAACCGTTCCTGGTGTTTATTCTACCATCCATTATGGTTGTCCAACAATTCAGCAACTTGTTTGTGTATCTCCATTAGAACACAACATTATTACACACTGCAAACTGAAACTTCAATCCTAAAATGTTCAACACACTTCATCCAGACTGGTTTTTATCAGCTTTTTCTTTGTTTTCTCTCATCTAGACTGATTGTTTTATCCATCATTACCAGTGATTTAAACTCACCTTTTCTTACACAGAAGGAGACATTTTTAGTTGCCACTATATTTTTATTTTTTTGCTTTGAAAAGCACTTGCAGACCTGTGGCTTTCCAGTGTAAACTTTACGCAAGTTACTGACCACAATTGCTGGTTTCTACAAAATTAAAAACAAGAAAATTAGTTTATATTTCCTTGCATCCAAATGTGCTGTTTACTCAATACTAAAAAGAGACATGAAATCAAAGCATTTTGTCTTGCACACACATAAAGGAAAAATAAATATAAAAACTACTTTCTTTACTAAAGATAGTTTTCTTGCATTTCAATGTGGATGAGTGCAAGACAAAAACCTTCGAGTTCATGTCTCTTTTTAGTAAAGTTTAAGTTCTGTACTACCAAGCAATTAGGCACTGTTTACTTCTGTACATAATGTATCCCCTGCAATAAAAATTCCATCCCATAAACTTTAGAATCCATGACAGATTTATAAGAATATAACATGACCAAGCTTTACATTAAAATTCTCATGATCATGACCATATTTTCTCTGAATTCTTTCTCATTTCAAATAAGCAGTGTACATTCAAGGCCATCTTTACACAGTAAAATATCCCAAGGTGCTTCACACGAGCATACAAAGGCAACAAAATTGACAATGATCTGGAAAAGGATGCAACAGGACAGGTGACCAAAAGCTCAGTCCAAAAGATATGTTTAAAGCAGGAGAGAACTAAAGAGTTTAAGAGAAAATGCCAGCGTTTTAGAACATAGGCAAATGAAGGCATGCTTGCTAATGGTCTGGCAAAGGAAATCAACTATGCACAAGAGGTCAAAATTGGAGGAACGTAGAGTCTTAAGAGGACTGTAGAGGAAGTCTTAGAGATGGGCACTGGTGAAACAGTGAAAGGATTTGAATGCATAAATGAAATTTTAATGAGGCAAGGGTAATCCAGGAACCCATGTACTTAGCCATGAGCATGGCAAGTGGGATTTGGTGCGTTTTAAGTGGCAGGTAGTAGACTTTTAGAAAGCTTATTTTTACAAAAAGTGGAAAACAACACTTTAGCCATAGATGCATTGCAGTAATTGAGTGTCAAGTTAGCAAACACATCTTAATAGTTTAAACTACATATGGGCTGAGGTAGGGTGTAGGCAGCAGGCAATGTTAGAGTTCGAATTAGGCATTATTGGTGACAGAGGGAATATAGGGATAGAAGCTTAATTCAGGGTCACATAGGATTCCAAAGTTTATTTTGTATCTGATTCAGCCTGAGATATTGACTAGACAGGCATGGAATCTGTGTACAAAGAACTGGTTTTGTATTTGGCATAAAAGGCATTTCTGCTCTCAATGTTGAAATGAAGGATAATTCTCTCACCTTGTACTGGATTTTGTCGAACAGCCCAGCAACATGGACAGTTCAGGGGTTGAGACAGATGGTGGTGTGGTGGAGTTGGGTGTCATCAGTATATGTATAGGACCCAGTGTGTTTTCAGATAATATCATCTAGAGTCAGCATGTAAATGAGAAATAGGAGGATGCTAAGGATGAATTCTTGTGGGGTCAGAGAGGTTATGGCGCACGAGTAGCAAGTGAAGACGACAAGACATTCTCTGGCTGCAACTGCACAAGATAGAATGGAACAAGGGAGAAGAGTTGAACAACAGAGGAGTGGCACTGGAGCTGAATGACATAGTTCACATTTCAAAGGCTATGGGTAGACAAAGAAGGATAAAGGGGACAGTTCTTCATGGTCACAATTATTCAGGATACTATTTATAACTTTGATCGAATGGCAAGGGCAGAAACCTGATAGATTGCAGTTATATTGCTCCTCTTCTAGCAATGTAATATTTAAAAGTAAATTCTTCCTCTCAAGTCCAATCCTAGCTTCTCTAGCTTATTTTAAATATCCATTTTCAATATTTACTTTGCTGAGATGTCTCCAATTTTAAGTTAGCAGTTTGGTAAGAAATGTAGTTATAAGTCAGGACTGAGATTAAATGGCAATTCTTCCAACTAATTCTAGACTTCAGTCCAGGTACAATTTGCAAATGAAGAGAGTGAAGAGAGAGGGAAGGAGGTTTAATAGAAGATGGAATGATGTCAGGATGGACTTATGCCTTAAATGCCTTAAAAATTATGCCTTTTGAGCAAAGAGTGGGAGGCATTGAGAGAAAAACCTGATTTTAATTTGTTTGCAATTTAAAAGCTTATGAATATATATCAGTTCAACTTATTAAGAAAGTAACCCTTCTACACTAATACAACAAATGGTTTCACTATGACTTTTTAGAAGTGATTTTCAATTATTTAAAACCATAAGATACAGAAACAGAATTAAGCCATTTCACCCATTGAGTCTGCTCCACCATGCAATCATGACTGATGTCTTTCTCAACCCCATTCTCCTGCCTTCTTCCCACAACCCTTGATACCCCTGATAATCAAGAACCTGTTTAAAATTATGACAATTGCATTCAATAATTTGGCCTTATCAGCCATCTGCGGTAATGAATTCCACAGATTCACCACCCCCTGACTGAAGAAATATCTCCACATCTCCTCAGTTTCACAAGAGCATCCCTTTACTCTGAGGCAATGCCCTCCAGTCCTAGTCTCTCCTACTATTGGAAACATTTTCTCCACATCCACTATATCCAGGTCTCTCGGTATTCTCTAAGTTTCAGTGAGATCCTCCCTTATCCTTCTAAATTCCATCAAGTACAGACCCAGAGACCTCAACCGCTGCCTGTGTGACATGCCATTCATCCCTGCAGTTATTCTTTTAAACCTCATTCGGACCCTCTCCAACACCAGCATATCCTTCCTTAGATATGGGCCCCAAAACTGCTCATAAGATTCAAATGCGGTTTGACCAGAGCCTTGTACAGTTTCAGCCTGTTCGTGTATTCTACCCTCTTGAAATGAATGCTAACATTGCATTTTTCTTCCTAATTGCCAACTGAATCTGCATGTTAATCTTAAGAGAATCCTGAACTAGGACTCGTACGTCCCTTTGTGCTTCAGATTTACGAAGCCTTTCCCCATTTAGAAAATAGTCTACGCCACTATTCTTCCTACCAAAGTGCATAACCTCATACTTTCCCATATTGTATTCCATCTGCCACATCCTTGCCCACTCTCCCAGCCTGTCCAAGTCCTTTTGTAGCTTCCTCACCCCCTCAACACTACCTGTCCATGCACCTATCCTTGTGTCATCTGCAAACTTAGCAAAAACGCCCTCAATTCCTTCGTCCAGATTGTTAATGCATAATATGAATAGTTGTGGTCCCAACTCAGAAACCCCTGCTGATCTCCACTAGTCACAGGTGGTCATCCTGAAAAAGTCACCTTTATCCTCACTCTATGCCTTCTGCCAGTCAAACAATCTTCTATCCATACCAGTACCTTGCCCTAACACCATGGGCTCTTATCTGTGCAGCACTTTGTCAAAGGCCTTGTGGAAATCCAAATATATCACATCCACTGACTCTCTTTTGTTTAACTTGTTCATTATCTCCTCAAAGAATTTTAACAGATTTTCAGGCATGACCTCCCCTTGATGAAGCTATTGACAGGGTCTATTTAACCATGCACTTCCAAGTATTTTGCAATCTCATCCTTAATAATGGACTCTAAGACCTTACCAATGACCAAGATCAGGCTGACCAGCCTATAATTTCCCATCTTCTGCCTCCCTCTCTTCTTAAAATCAGGTAACTCACTGTTGATGGACTACATACTGATTAAAAATGCTTATTTTCTTGATAAACTTTTTAATGAGATTTTGGACACAATTTTCATCTGGATCACCAAAAACCCTTGGATAAGTTATGATACAGACTGTAACAATTTACATCATTTGTTATTCCATCACTAGAATCCAGTAAACTGACTTACAGAGGAAGTTTCTTACCTCCTCACAGCTCTGACAAGTCAATGCTTCCCGAACTCTTGCCCTTTCCTCTTTGACATCATCATCCTCATTCTCAGGTTCTTCTGTATTTATTTTGAATTTGCTCTTTGACGGAAAGATTCTGCATGAAATGGGGAAAAAAAAGCTGATTTGTATCTCGTACTGGTAACGCTGCTGCCTTAACTTGACCGGTAAAAGTGATGAAATTCTGAGTTGGATTCATGTCATGTAGTTTGGCAGCAGACCGTTTGCTTTTTACCCCCCAGGAAACCAACAGTCACTCAAAATTTGCAAAATGCCTTTAGAAATTTTAAAGTCAGTGCTTCTAGGCTGTATCTTCAGATCCTCGTCCATTTACTTCCCTATTACTGCCAAAGTAGAAGTCACCATTCAGTCAAGTTCTACATTCCACCATCTCCAGTTCTTCTAATCTCTGGGTCCTCACGACAAAATGAGAAAATCACAACAACTCCTGCCAAATTAGTCATTCTTCCAATATCAATTTAGCCCATGATCACTCAGTCACATTCAAAACTGCCAAACACCACGCTAAACATCTCAATCTGGTAGATCCTTATATTTAAGAAAACAATGCAGCCATATTTTTTAAATGATCACTACAATTAAATTTGATGAACTGACCAACCTGCAACATTTATCCGCTTGAATTACTTTTCCTCCATGAATCTTTTCTAGTTGGCATAGTACAAACAGCAAAACTATGCATTGAATATAGGGCTAAAATACAAAACAAAATTGTTTTACCTTTAAGTATTTCTTAGATCATGAGTAAAACCATCAGTGTTTCCCCTTTTTGAACTATTTTGTTGATTTTATAAAAATCTTTAAAACATAAGCAAACAGAAAAATAAATATAATTGTAGGTATAGATTTACATTGATAAAGGTTTATGCAAGGATAAATTGTATCTATCAGGTTAGTTCAAGGCAAAATTCATTGTTTACCTTTGTGAAGATCTGCCTTTATCTTATCATGTAACCAGACAACATTGTTCAAAGATCTCAAGAACTTCAATCTCCACACAACAGTCTGCTCAGAGATTTAGTAATTAGCCAGTAGGAGATACATTTATTCCAATCACATTGTGCATCTACCTTTCCCAATGTTCTTCTGGGTGTCCCAACCAAAAATAGACAATATAACTAACTTCTTTAGATAGATGTTGAATTCACATGTCAAAAAATTTGAAAACCAGAACTCCCAATAACTTTTCTCATACTGGTAGTATGTTTACAGCTCATCTAATTTCTAAGAGGCACATTTATAAAAGACTTGTTTTAGTTCAGCAATTAAAAACTAAAACTTACTGAGATTATAGTTATCAGGATGTTCTGTTTCCACTCGAGATATGTCCCTACTGTTAGACTGGGTTCATCCTTGTGATCCAGAAAAACCTGTATAATCAATTTACAATGAATTTTAAGGTTGGCATGTTTTTTTAAAAATATAGAATATTCAACCAAAGGATTTCCCCAATTTATCAGCATCTTATAAACCATACATTCAAACAAATGGATATTAAATAGAGCTGTAAGTTACTTACATGCATAGAAAGACAGAAAAGCAGACAAAAGGGCCATTCTGGACCTCAATAAAGTCTTCCCAAATTATACTGGTATTAATTTTCACAGCATGCACTTTTGTTTTGTATCCTGCAGACCAGCCTATGAACCTTGATTTAAGTAAATATTTTGCCACTCGACAATAATTCCATTAAAAAATTTCCTACTATCTTTGAAAACAAATGCAGTTTCTATGGAATTCCTTGCCCAGTGAAGTAGTTGACGCTACTTCAGTAAACGTTTTTAAAGATAAGGTAGATACTTTTTGAACAATAAAGGAATTAAGGGATACAGTGAGAACGCGGGTAAGTGGATCTGAGTCCACGAGAAGATCAGCCATGATCTTATTGAATGGCTGAACAGGCTCGAAGGGCCGGACGGCCTCCTCCTGCTCCTCGTTCTTGTGTTCTTATGTTCTGTTCTCTAATATTGAAAATGGTAAGATTGTGCCAAATTTTACTAAAAATTGGTTAAGTGTGAATTTCAGGGGGTTGTTGAGGGTTTCTCTCCATTAACTATGCAGTTTTCTCACACAATTTTACACTGCTCATCTCATTATGCATGATGTTGCTCTTTAGCTATTTTGCACATGCCAGAAGCACAGGTACCTGCCACTGCTGGACCTTTCTGGAATTCCCACCTCCATTGCCACGTTTAAACCCAAGCTGTGCATCAGGTTGATTGCAGTCAGCTAGAAACTGCCCTTTTCAGTTGCAGCATGGGAAGAACTCCCCTGAAGATGGCTGACTGACGCAGTTTCGCACCCCGATTTGCTGACAGGGACTTAGAGATCCTCGTAGATGGGGTGATGCAGAGGGGAGCTGGCCTCTTTCCTCAGGACTGCAAAGGAGATCTCTGCACCAGAACCCTGCTAGCCCCGTCTGAAGTCACCACTTGGTTTGTAATTTTAGAATAAAAAGCTAGTCTAAGTAATATTAACCAAAAAAAAACTATTGGGAAACCAACCTAGTTCATTAATGTTCTTGAGTGAGGGAAATTCGCTGTTTTTAACTGATCTGGCCTACATGGGTCTCCAGACACACAGCCATGTGGTTAACTCTTAACTACCCTCTGAAATGGTACTGGCAAGCCACTGAATTAAGTTGAATTAAGCCACTGCAGAAAAATCAAAAAGAACTTGATGGCTTGATCGTCTTGGTCACTATTTCTGAAGGATGGCCAGCATCTTATATTTTGGCATCAAAATAGAAATTGCTGGAACCCTCAGCAGGTCTGGCAGCACCTATGGAGAGAAAGCAGAGTTAACATTCTGAAGAAGAGTCACTGGACCTGAAATGTTAATTCTGCTTTCTCTCCACAGATGCTGCCAGACCTACTGAGTTTTTCTGGCAATTTCTGATTTTGTTTGATTTCCAGCATCCATAGTTCTTTGGCTTTTTCTGTTTATTGTTTGGCTATTAGTTTGTGATTAAGTTGTAAATTCTTTAAAGCTTATAGTAAATGTCATTCAGCGAGACTTGCTGTCTATATTTAAAATACAACAACAGTTTGCGTATTGGGGGAAATGTGTAAGGATTTACTCATGGAAGTTGGATGTTAAGGATACAGAAAAGTGTGCAAGAGACTTGGGTGTAGATATAGTGAGTTAGGATTGATTATGAAGTAGTGATTAGACTGAGATTGATTAGAGCAATAACTTGAAGAAATGAGATGATACAGGCCAAGAATCTGAATACAAATAAAGTCCAAAATGATCAGACTGAGGAATAGGTGCCATCTAGAAGCATTAATGCTATGAACATATGAAATTAAGGAGCAGGAATGGATCAGCTTGTCCATTACGCCTGCCCCACATTTCATTATGGCTACAGCATGATAATGACACACCCAGTTGACCACTCAAGGAAAGCAATGGTTGTTCAAAGCTATCAAAATAATTACAAGAGTGATTTGGTTTGTTTCTCTGTGGTGTTGAGAGTTGTTATGTGTACCTTTTCTTTTTAACTTACTTGTCTAATTAATGAAACCAGTTTTTAATTAGTCCACATTTAGTCAATGGGACATTAAGTCAATATCATACTTTATTTTGAAGAGTGACATTCCCCCAAAATTGCACAATGCTTTAGTGGTGAGGTTAAGGACAGGTGGAAAATTAAATAATTAGATATTATTCATTCAGTGAGATCAACTGTTATAAAAAATATTATTCTACCTTGGCTGTATAATACAAGCATCCTGTAATCACATATGGTGGAATAAAAAGTGACAACGCGCCATGCAGCATGTTGGCAGCTGTTTCCTTTAGTATTAACCGAACCAAGAATATGAGACTGATTGAAATTATATTGATCTACAAAAAAAAAACACAAATACAATGTCATACAATTACCTTGGGTGAAAATAATTGAAATACAAATCTTTGATACTTAAACTTGCTTGAATGTTCAATTAGCCAAAGGTCAACATAAATAATGTTTGGATCCAAATTAAGAGTTACAAGAATTATTTTGTTAAAGTAAATTAGCAATGAAAATATCAATGCTCATCATTGTTTATGTTTTAGTTCACTTGCTTTAGCTTACAATAACTGAAGAGATCAGAAAAAAATCCCGAGAAGTCTGCATTCGATCAAATCTGAAGGAATAGGCGTAGGAGAATAGCGTCATTGCTGGGGCCCAGCCAATAAGACACAGCATCTGTTGAAAAAAAGAGAAAGTGAAAACGGAAAGATATACATCCTCTTAATGTCACCTACTGAGCATTATTAACCTATATAGCTGTCCGTCTCCTTAATGCCATTTTTTTCTGAATATATTTAATTTATTCCAGAGCAAAGCACCTAAGGATGGCTGAGCCTATGAATTCCTTCAGCAATAACCTGGAGCTGTTGTTCGGCTTACAACAACCATAACTGTTTTCCTTTGTGCTAGGCATGACTCCAGCTGAATTTGATTTTATTAGGGCTCCTTGATCACACATGGTGAAATGTTGCCAAGATGACAAAAGCAATCACTCTCACCTCACCTCTGGAATCGAATTCTTTTGTGTACATTTAGCTGAGGCTGTAGTGATGTCGGGGCTAACAGGCCTGGGCAGAACCCATCTGTCCATCAGTTAGCAGTTTGTTGATAAGTAAGAGTAACTTAGTTGCTGAGGAAGTGCAAAGTCTTTTCAGGAAGTGACAAAAATGATTGAAGAGGTTAGGGCAGGGAATGCTATCTACATGGACTTTGCTAAAGCATTTGACAAGGTCACTCATGGTAAGCTGGTCCAGAAGATTAAGTCACATGGAGTCCATGGCAAGTTGGTGAGTTGGATACAAAATTAGCTTGTTCATAGAAGACGAAGTGGCAAAGGATAAATTGGCAAAGGAGGCGTATGGCATGCTTGCCTTCATTGGCTGGGGATAAAGTATAAAAGTTGGCAAGTCAGCTGTTTAAAATTTTAGTTTGGTCACATTTGGAAGGATGTGTAGACTTTGAAAATGGTGCAAAACAGGTTTACTAGGATGTTGCCTGGATTGGAATATATTAGCTAAGGAGACGTTAGACAAGCTTTGATTGTTTTTGCTGGAGTGTTGGAGGCTGAGGTATGAGTTGATGGAAGTATATAAAATTATGCAAGCTATGGATAGGGTGACTAGTCAGAGTCTTTCTCCCAGGGTGGAAATGACAAATGATTAGGATCATCAATTTAAGGGTGAGAGGAGAAGAGTTCAAAGGAATGTGTGAAGGTGTCAGGTGCCTGGAATGTGCTGTCAGGGGAGGGAGTAGAGGCAGGTATGTTGGCAAGACAGGCATTTAGACAGACACATGAACAGGCAAGGAATAAAGGGATACTGACCATGGAATTAATTTAGAATGGCATCGTGGTCGGCATAGACATGGTAGGGCTGAAGGGCCTGTTCCTGAGCTGCACTCTTCTATGTTCTATGAACAATTCACAATAGATATCCTGAAAGAAATGACTGACTAGAGATAAAATTTTCAAAATCTAAATATGTAATTCCTATGTGCCACCATCACAGAGTTCCAGGATAATCTATCCACATTAGAAGTTCTAAAAATTATTCATACAACAGAATACTATTTCTTGAGGAAACTAGTGGGGATGGTGGTCCTTCTCATGTGCAATATGATTGTTTGCACAGCTGACTGACTTACTAACTGCTTGAGAAGGTATTAAAAGTTAACCACATACGGACCAATGTAAAACACACCCTCCTCTGGAATTGTGTAAGTGGGGTTTGCTATAGCAGGGGCAAGGTTGGAAAGAGTTTCTGCCCCACCACCATTTCTGAATTCAGGCAGAAAAAGACAACCTGCCCAGATAATTTAATTGGAAAAGCTGTGACATAATATGTCAATCAGAACCCTCATGCCACGTTCATAATGTTGGAAACCAAGAGAAGTGATGTAACTTTTTCTTCCAATAAGGACCAGTTAGTATAGGAATATTGCTTATGTGTATACAAGAATAATGTGGGCCTCCATGTCCACATCCCAACTGCAGGCATGCCCATCCAATGCCCCTCCCCTTCTCTTCTATTTATCTTTACTTACCTTGCTAGAGTTCACCTTCATTTGTCTCAGATGGCAGCCTGGCATCTCCCACCCCCCAAAGTGAAGTTGCCTCTATTCACCAACTGGTGACTTTACTCCAGTGGTTTGAGGGGAGTTAATGCTGAAGCATGTCTTTAAATCCCTGGAGTTAAATCCCCCGGACCTCTCATTCCAGATGCCCAGACAATTCACCACTTGTTTCAGCCTCTATGACGTACCCTGAATTCAAATCAGCCAGGAGAGTAGGATTAGATCTGTGTAGGCCAAAGGAGGTGAGGAAACTAGGTTCTCTTTCCTGAAGTACATCAGTGAATTAATTGGTTTGTTAACAATTTGACAGGTTTTATTGTAATTTTTGATTGTTTTCAATTACTCAACAATTCAATTTTGTTGTACAAAAATGACTGAATTATTAATAGACAGCTTTAATACTTTAACTTTAATAACTACGAATTCAAATTATACTCTCTGTTGTACATTTAAGGTATAGTTATAATGGATGCTTCATGCCCATCCCAAAGCATTTCACCTTACTTTTCATCCTATTAGCATCAATATGCATGCTGCCCCACTGTGGTCAGCCAACTTATATTAAACTATTTCATTCACTGTCAACGCAACTATTATGGAATCCCAAATTATAAATGATGTTCTGCCTCACCTACTTCTCCTCACTGAATATTCTCAACTCATTATTTCGTAGGTACTGGAGTCTAGATTAGTCAGTAGAAATTGCTCACTTCAAATTAATTCCTAGTATAATTTAGGGTGGCACAGTGGTTCAGTGGTTAGCACTGTTGCCTCACAGTGCCAGAGACCCACATTTGATTCCAGTCTTGGGCGACTGTCTGTGCGGAGTTTGCACATTCTCCCTGTGTCTCTATGGGTTTCCTCCAGGTGCTCTGGTTTACTCCCACAATCCAAAGATGTGCAGGTTAGGTGGACTGGCCATGCTAAATTGCCCATAATATCCAAGGACGTGCGAGCTAGGTTGATTAGCCATGGGAAATGCAAGATTACAGTGATAGGGTAGAGGAGTGGGTTGGGGTGGGATGCTCTTCAGAGGGTCAGTGTGGGCTCAACAGGCTGAATGGCCTGCTTTCATTGGGCAGGGATTCAATTCTATGAAACATGACCACACTGCAAACCTATAGCATTTAAACATTTTGGACTGAAATGCATTTTGTAGCTTACAACGTAGACTTTGTATAAAGAAAACAATTTGCATTACTTTGTAACATTTCCAATAAATTGTGTTAATATTATTTTCAAAAGTTAAAATTATAGTAAGCACATTAAGTTTTTACTTACCATTGAAATTACAGCACCGGTATGAAGCAAAGATGTGGAATTAAATGCAATCACACAGCCAAGCATGATTACAACTATGATAAAATAAACGGGGATATCCACCAAAGCGTAACCACACCAGTATGCAGAAGGAAAGAGGCCAGAAAGCCGAAGTTGAGAGCGAGATTTAATCTACAAACAGATAATTTATAGAACTTTACAATTTTATTTATCCGCGTAGATTAAATTCAAGTTACCAGTAAACAAGCCTATACTAAAAACTGATCATTAAAAATATTCAGCTGGACCAGTGATTTGAATTTTGTCCTTTTTTAGTGTTGCTATCTCTTTTTTCTATCCCTTAACACTAATTGCATGAATCAAAACACTGCAGATGATGGAAATCTATAATAAAAACAGAAAGTGCTATAAGCTAGTCTGGTAGTATATGTGAAGAGAAAGTGAGAGAACATTTCAGATCATAAGTTTGCATCATGATTGGGAAAACTTAGATATTTAGTCGCTTTTGCAGAGATGAAATGGAGGAGTATGAACAAAAATGGAACATCTGTGCTAGAATAGAAGACGTGAGATTATATGAGTTGGTGGGCTACAGCCAAAAAGTATTATAATGGGACAAGTAAAGAAGCAAAAGATGAGTCCAGAGAGGTATGAGTTGTAGAACAATGAAAAGCTCTCAGCCAAAAGCAAAAACCAGAAAAATAAAACATGATTAAGGCCAAGACATGCCAAGAAAATGAAACAAAATGGGGGAGCAAAGATTAAGGTGTGAAATTGTTGAACTCAATGTTGTGTCCAGAAGGCTGGAAAATGCTTAAATGAAAGATGAGGTGCTGTTCCTTGGTTCTGCAAATATGCTTTGGCTTTTCCAACATTTCTAAAAATCATTGGTTGGTTGATGGATACATGAGTAATATTTTTAAAAGGCTAAAATACACCTTCTAGCATTGTCTCACAAACTGTTTATGGCAGTATAACAGCTGATCAGGTTTGCCAGGTCAGAGACTGTTATTGCCAACTCCACCCCAAAAATAGTCCAAAAGGAGCCAAATAGTATTATTATTACTATTAAATTTTTATTCAAAATTATGTGAAATCTTAGTCTTCTGTTACAGTACTCTTCATAAACCTGGTACACTATAGAGGGCTGGCTTGAAACTTACAAGGCCAAATATTTTTGCTTGTTTCAGAGCAAAGGTTCAGATAGATCACGAGAAGGGGAGAGTTCTTTTTGCAAACTTTCACTGATGGATTTTAAAACTTAATTTTCCACTTTTGGCCACAATGCTTGGATTTCCTCAGTGCATTTATACTTGGACATCTGCCTAAGCTGTATAGAGAGCTTCCTCCAATCTCTAATGTTTGTCAGCCTAACCCTCATGAGGATAAAGTAAGATATTTTGTCATTAATGAAATCAGATCTTTACCTCACGATCTCGTGAATTATCCATGGTGTAGCATCCTGGCAATGCAGCTGATAACAACCCCAACACTGCCAAAGCCATATAAACCTTTTCCTTAAAGTCGGCATCAGTGACTGTCTGAAGCAGATGTGAGAAAACATTCAAATTCACTTCTAATTCTGTGTACAACACCTTAATATTAATATCTAAAAATATATGAATAGATATTTGCTTAAAGAGATACTACAGCAAGAAACCTGACGCCACTGTAATATTAACCCAGAATTAAGAATCAAGTAATTTCTTTGGGGAGATGTGATCATTCCTATCAATATTAGATGACTGAAATACCACATTAAGTACTAGGCCTTTGTGAGAGACAAACGAGCAAAGCGAATCAGAAAGGTGTAGGAAGAAATCCACAAGAGTGTAAAAAAGATGAAAAGCACAGAACAAAATGGAGATAGAATGAAGTTCAAGACAGAGAGAGAGAGAGAGAGAGAGAGACAGACAGACAGACAGACAGTGACAGAAAGAATAAGTTATATTTTTGACCTACAAATAACATGACCAAAACTTACCTTGTAACATTTTTATAGTATTGATCAGCTGTAAACTTAAAAACAAGACTTAATATGCTTGACTGGATCTATGGTTATGTTGTGCCCACAATAATGTATTAGTTCATACATGTTGTACAGTTTTAAACAGATCGACCATTTCACAGATTACAACACACATGACAGTGGGAAACTTTTACAGTAGTTCAAATAGTAGTTTCTAAATTATCCAAAGCAATTGAGTTCATTTTCAAATCCACTGCACTAATTAAAAAGAAGTAGCTTACATTTTAAATGGAGAACAGACAGTTTACAGAACCAGAAAGACTAACAACTAGTCTTAATCATTCAGTCTTATAAATGTGAGACTTTATAAGGATATGCTTTAAAAAATTCATTCAGTTTAAGGTGAAACAGAATAAGTATCCTGAAGAGGGCGATGGTGATCTTCTTTAATTCTGCCTGGAGACAGACCCAAGTGTTCTCATTATTATGGGGAAAAAAGCTCAGGCTAAAATTCATAGAAGATCATATGCCAGATTTTACACTTTGTTTCTCTGTTCTAGAATGGAACTTGTGGAAATATAAGAACTAAGAAGTCACCAAGGAGCTTTTGTGCTGAAAGACTGAGTAAAGTGTCTTTCAAATGACACTGAAAGACTCACTGGTGTGATTGGAAGAAGGGAGACTGCTGGAAATGTTGAGAAGAATTTGGAGTTGATTGAAAGATGCTACAAATCTGCCTCTGAGTTGACTTAATATAAAAATATGTTGCGTGATATCTAATTTATGTTAATTAGTTAATGAGGAAGTACTTTTTCTGTTTGGTTACAATAGTTGCCTATTAAGCAATGTTTAGTCTATGTTAATTTTAGTTCTGTTACAGTAAGTCTTAAAATATTAAATCTTCTGATTCTTTCAATCTCTGAGAAATTCATATCCCTTTTAAACTATTAGTCTCTTTGGAAATTGTAAAAACAGATAACATGAAATGCAAAGTAAAATCAATACTTCTACAATCAGCATCACTCTAGATCTGTTCAGCACTTAACTTACTAAATGGAATGGTTTGCTCCATGCTTGAATCCCACCGGATCCATTTACACTAATGAGGAGGGCATTACTGATCATGTTGATTAACACTGGCAGTGAGTGAATCACTGTGCTGTTGAACACTGCTGTGAACATGTACTGTTTCTGAACAAGAACACAGGAGACACAGAGTGATGGTAATGAAAACATTATCCACAAAAGTTTTTCTTTTACATTCTTAACATAATTTTCACTTTACATTAGTATAGTGGGTAAGTTCTTCAAGAAAAACATTTGCAATACATTGTGGCATGTTACAAAGGAATGAATTGTCACAACTGAATTCCCTTCTTTCCCATTCATAAGAATGCAACAAGTTGCTTACCAGTTTGCTTGAAAGATGGAAGTAACTTGTCATGAGCCTTGGTGATTTATGTAATGTCAACTTACTTCACTGTATAGCAATTGAATTTGTGATTAAACACGGCTTCATGGAGAAGCAGTTCTGGTCATTAAATAAATTTATGGGACTCATCTCAAGATGACAAATATTTAAGTGTACTGAAGATTCATCTTTGATATAATAGCGAAATGGAAACAAGGTGAATTATATATTCTGGTGGCTTTTGTGGTTATGTCATTCAAAAGGACATATATGTCAACATATTTACTCATTCAAGAACAGAATAGTTATTGATATTTCTCTTAGACATTCATACCCAGTAAGTCTCATTTGTAATTCTTATCTACTTGCTAATCAGACTTGCATTTATTATTCTCTGTAAACATTAAGCTCTGTTCAGTTTAAAATTTAGTTACAAAAACCCAATTTGTAGTTAGGAGCAAATACCTGTTTTAACTTTTTTCAATCTTGTACACAACATCCTCAGCTCAAGTACAAGTGTCATTAATAACAAAGAGACAAGTAACTGAAAGCTTTAATCCAAAATACCCCAACCTCCAATCCCTGGTATGCTCATCTCTTCCGCTAACTTGCCTCAATCAGGCATACTTCACTAATAATATTGTTAGGTGGCAGGTCATGGAATTGAGTGACTTTTCCAGTTTGGAAGGAAAAGTAAACATTCTTTTCCTTTTTACTTTATCAGGTCTGTTTAACTTCAAACAAACTTTGTGGACAATTAATCATGGGTTAATTTGTGGCCCTTTCTGGCTGAACAAAAATGATGATTAAAAAGCTTGCGGAAAATGGGAAAGCATAAATAACAAAATGAACAAACAAAAATATCTTTGAACAATTTTTTTTCAATGCATGTAAACCATGATACGACTGAACTCTTCCCATGGGTTATGTTCAAATCTATTACCTCTTCTGAAAGTGACACATTTAGTGCTGCGTTGTGTGGAGCAACATCCGTGAATTCACTATCATTGAACATCTCCACTTTCACGCTCTGTGCTTCGAAAGCATGGACAAGTTTATCAATATTACTGCCTGATACGAAATGAAAAATAAAACAAAGCATTTGAATGATCATTTATTATAAATTATGTTCAGATACATATAAACATATTTGTAAGTCACACTTCAATTTGAAATCTTAAATTTTCAAAGGCTTGTTTCTCAGGTGTTGTCGATTGATCAAATGCTACTATGAGGCTCATTCTTAAAAAATAACATCAGGAGCATTTTTGTCAGAATTTTTTCCTTGAGTTCAGGCTTACCCGTCTGGGAACATCGATTTTTTTTCTTACAGACCTTTGCTTGCACTAGTGCAATAACTATTAATGTATATAAATTCAACACAAGGTGCTAGAATGATATTTCCTATAAAGGAAATTGTACTTCTACAGAGAAGGTACAGATTGGATTGATGCTTTGCTGAATGTCAAGGTTATTTACTAAAACATGCAACTAATCAATAAGCAAAACATCTACAAACAGTGGCACATAATGATATGTTACAATGAATAGTTCAGGCTTTTCTGTTTGAGAATCTGTTCAATTAATTATTTAGTTCTTGGAAGCTTTCCACAATGAATGTTATTCCACTTATATCTTACCTGTCGAATTTTTCAGAAGAAGACTAGTTGTATATTTGTGGGGTTTTTGGCCTTGATGGAGTAGAATTAACTCAGGGGATAGTTCCACTGAAACATCTTTCCGACTCAGTGTACCGTTTAATAAAGCCATCATAACCACAATGGATATCAAAAGGCCAATTATGTAAATGCTGTGAAGTATTGAAAAATATTATGCGAAAATTATTTTAGGAGAAAATTTCACTCAACAGTAAGCTTGAGAAATAATATTAAATGTTTTTATATTAAATCTTAGAATACCAAGGATAATGAAGTATATGTAGGGTAGAATTTTGCTGCATTATTAAAGGTCTTGCAAGCTGGCTGGATAGTCAAAAAATGAACCACTCTGCCTCTTTTTGGTAAGTCCCACTGAAACACAAGCAAATCAGGCAGTGCCACCAGGTCATCAGCACAATGGGGACAGAATTCCTTCCTAATGGTGGCTACTGACCAAAGGTCGGTAGCTCTTCTGTTCAGCAGCATTACAGGGGAGCCCATGCTAGTGGAAGGACAGGGTTCAGAGTTCCAGGATCAAGAACAACCCAGATTCAAGTGTGGGGAGCTCTGCAGGCTAACAGCAATGGCACTCAGCCCAACCTCCTCCTTGCAACGTTCAGTCTCTCGGTCAGGCATTCAGTGCTTTTGATTGAGTAACAACTGTGCACACTGCACCTGCACAGGAAGTGACAAGCTGTCTGCATGGTTTTAAGGCCCACCTGAAGCTGGGTTCATACCAGCAGAGGCACAATGATGCCACTAAGTGATCATTAATTGGCCATTTAAGGGCCTCAACCTTGGTGGGGAAGTCGACCGTAGGTCTTGCCACCCAGAACTTAATTCTGGTGGTGATGGGTGGACGGACAGTTTCAGGTTTTGACATTGGGCACATGACCTTTTTATCTCCAAGCTCACCATCAGTGAGAGCAGAAGATGACACCCATAGTTTCCACTCTGTGTGAACTCCAAAGTCAAAAGGAGAAAGGATAAGTGGACTCCTAGAAAGATAACAACTAGAAATGAAATTTGTTTACAGGTCTAGAACTGCTGGTATTAATACAGTTTCAGTGAATGTGAAAGGATGAATTGAGGTAAAACATTTGCTAGACTTGTGGAAACAACTCTCCCTCACTCTCCCAAAGGATAGAACAGGGATATGTAAAAGCATGATTCAAAGAGATCACATTAAACAAGAGGGATGAATTTGAAAATATCACGACTTATTTTAAAGGATAAAGAGATCTTTGAGAAACAATGTGCCATTAATTGTGTATTTATTTAGCAACACTGGAATCCAAATTTGCAATTTAAATTTTATGCACAGAACACAAATAATGTGTAGAAACAGATAAATTTTGGAGATAAAAGTTAAGGAATCAACTATAGCTTTGAGGAGGGATAATATACCAAATAAACCACTAAACCAGCAATAGTAGGAACTGCCGATGCTGGAGAATCTGAGATAACAAGGCGTAGAGCTGGATGAACACAGCAGGCCAAGTAGCATCAGAGGAGCAGGAAAGCCGACGGCTGAACCATCGGCTTTCCTGCTTCACTAAACCAGCAATATGGGTTGAGCTCAGGAGTAAGATTGGGCAGATACACTTCAAGGATTGTTTTAAAGACCCCAAATAGTGGAAGCGAAATAGTTCGCAAATACAGACAAATTTCTGAGTGCAAGAAACAGAATCGCATTAACAGCTATGGAGCTACAATTACCCTAGTATCAACTGGGATATTGAAAGGTGTAGTGGGCACAAAAATCTTGAACTGTATTCAAGAGAACTTGTTGTTTTAATCAGCATGTAACAAGTGCAATGAGAAGGAGGGAGGGAGGCAGGGAGGGGAATTCTAGATGCTGTCTTTGGAAATGAAGCTGGGCAAGTGGCTGAAGAAGCAGTGAGTGACCATTTTGGAGACATTGACCATAATATAGTGAGATTTAGCATCATTATAGAAAAGAACACGTACAGAAGTACGCTTGGGTCTTCACTGGTCACAGCATTGAGCATAGGAGTTAGGACATCGTGTTGTGGCCGTACAAGAAATTGATGAGGTCACTTTTAGAATACTGCATGCAAATTCTGGTCATCTTCTATAGGAAGGATGTTGTTAAACTAGAAGGAGAAGCTGAGGGGTAACCTTATAGAGGTTTATAAAATCATGAGGGGCATAGATAAGGTGAATAGCCTGAAGGTCGGGCAGTCCAAAACTAGAGAGCATAGGTTTAAGGTGAGAGGGGAAAGATTTAAAAGGGACTTGCGGGGCAACTTTTTCCACACAGACGGTGGTCTGTGTATGGAATAAGCTGCCAGAGGAAATGGTAGAGGTGGGTACAATTACAATACTTAAAAGGCATTTGGACAGGTACATGAATAGGAAAGGTTTGGATGGCTATCAGCCAAATGCATGCAAATGCGACAAGTTCAGTTTAGGATACCTTGTTGTCATGGACAACTTGGAACATAGGTTCTGTTTCTGTGCTGTATGACTCAATGACTCTACTAGTAAAAGTTCAAAATATTGGGGGAAATTTTACAGATTTGATGGGTGAACTGGCACAAGTGGACTGGATTGTTTAAAAAGAGTGTGGAGGACAGACAAAACAATTACAGGTTGGCAGTCTAACTTTGGTGCTTTGCAAATTATTAGAATCAACTGAGAAATAGGATAAATGTGACTTAAAAGTTGGGGATTAATCAGTGACAGTCATCATAGTTTTGGTTAGGAAAGGCAGTGTCTTACTAATTTATTTTACTGAGAAACTAACAAAAGCGACTGAACTCATACTGTGGATGTTGTCTTGAGTTTACTAAGGCATTTGATAAGGTCCTAAATGGCAGACTGGTCAGAAAAGTAAAGTGAACAAAATGGCCCCAACTTTTCAATGATTTGATTTGGTCTAAAGAAATGAACTATAGGAACAGGAGAAGGTAGGAATTTTATAACAACAGTCAAATCTTCTAACACATCCTTTTATTTTGGTCCAGGTAAAGACCTACTGAAACTACCTTATTTTCCTATTTATTTAGAGCTTGGTACATGCCTCTGCATTAACTCAGTTGGCTGGACAGTTGGTTTGTGATGCAGAGTGATGCCATGAGTATGGGTTCAATTCCCACACTGGCTGAGGTTACCATGAAGGACTGTCTTCCCTAACCTCTCTCCCTGCCTGAGGTGTGGTAATGCTCAGGTTAAACCACCACCAACTGTCTCTCTCTAATGAATTAGCAGTCCCATGGTCTGGCAGGATTGTAGTGATTTTACCTTTACCTGCTAGTAATTCAGAAAGTTGCCCTTTCCTTTATTATGTGTTTCATGTTCATCACTGAACTAAATATCTCTAAATGGCTGGTAGACAGATTTTTAATCAGTAATGGGTTGAAAGGCTATGGGGAGTGGGTAGCAAAGTGAAGTTAAGCCCAAGATTAGAGTAGCCGATATTGAATGGCAAAGCAGGCTCGAGGGGTTGAATTGCCTATTCCTGTTCCTAACATTTATGTTCTTATGAAATGATAAAGCTCAATGTTTAATTATTCATTAAATTATGTTTAGTGGAATAATCTCCTTCGATTATGTGCTACATATTTCATTTATTTGTTCCTGTCTTAATATGTAGAACTTTGCACATTTAATCAAATTGGCCTTCATAATTTAAAAGCTCAGATTATGTTTCCTTGTGTTTACACCCACAAATGTAATAAAATATCTTCCGGAAGTATTTTTCAATGCATGTCAGTTTAGAAGTTAGTCATCATACCAGCTGCTCTTCTTTGAAACCTTTCCAATGAGGGAATTCAAGAACATACACGGGCCTCAATAGCTTGTATGAACTGATGAAAATATAAACATTCCATTTAAAATGGTAGCATGCTAAAAGGAAACATTAGATATTGATGAGAAACACAAATAGCAATGTCTTTTCTGTGCCCAGATTTTCCTATTATACCTACATATAAAGGAGAGCACTGCGTTCTCGACTGAAATTCATCAAACGCAACCACGCTATGGTGCGAAACTGCTGTTGCCACAGAGCAATGCCAGACAACATTGCCGAGCTAGTTTCTGGGAAAGTCAGTAGTTGGTGATCAATGCAGTCAATGCAAATGTCTTCTTCATTTGCTATTACATCTGGTGCTGGATCCTTGGTAAAAACGCTATAATCTGAAAGAAAACAGAGAAATTCAAATAATTATGATCATGACATTAATAAAAAATATATGCTTGCATTTACTGATTGCTTAGTTTTAGCTTAAGTGGAGTAAATGAACAAAAACAGAATCACAGAGTCGTGCAGCATAGAAACAGACCCTTCGGCCAACCTCGTCTATACCGACCAGGTTTCCTAAACTGAACTAGTCCCATTTGCCTGTGTTGGCCCATATCTCTCTAAACGTTTCTTATCCATGTACCTGTCCAAATGTCTTTTAAACCTTGTAAGTGTACCTGCCTCTACCACTTCTCTGGCAGCTTGTTCCATAAAAGCAGCACCCTCCATGGAAAAAAAGTTGCCCCTCAGGTCCCTTTTAAATCTTTCCCCTCTCACCTTAAACCTGTGCCCTCTAGTTTTGGACTCCGCTACCCTGGGGAAAAGACCTTGCCTAGTCACCTTATCTATGCCCCTCATGATTTTATAAGGTCACCCCTCAGCCTCCTATGTTCCAGGAAAAAAAGGCCCAGCCTATCAAGCCTCTTCTTATAACTCAAACCCTCCAGTCTCAGTAACATCATTGTAAATCTTTTTGCACCCTTTCCAGCTTCATATACCAGGTCAACTAGAATTGTATGCAGTACTCCAAATGTGGTCAACCAATGTCTTGTACGGCTGTAACATGACGTCCCAACTCCTGTACTCAAAGCTCTGACCAATGAAGGCAAAACATGCCAAACACCTACTTCTTCACCCTGTCTACCTGTGATGCCAATACCTTGCATTTATCTAAATTAAACTGCATCTGCCATTCCTCAGCCCACTGCCCCAATTGATCAAGATCCCGTAGTACTCTTAGATAACTTTCTTCACTGTCCACTGCACCACTAACTTTGGTATCATATGCAAACTTACTAACCACGCATCTTAAATTCTCATCCAAATCGTTCATAAAAATGACGAATAGTAGTGGACCCAGCACCAAACCTTGCAGCGCACCACTGGTCGCAGGCATCCAGTCTGAACAACAACCCTCTACCACCACCCTTTGTCTCCTACTGTCAAACCAATTAATTGGCTAGCTGTCCCTGAATCCATATGGCTATGACCTTACTAACCAGTCTACCACACAAACCTTGTCGATAGCCTTGCTAAAGTCCGTGTATCGCTCCACCTTCATCTATCTTCTTGGTCATCGCTTCAAAAAACTCTATCAAGTTTCTGAGACACGATTTCTCGTGCACAAAGCTATGCTGATTGTCCATATTCAATCCTTGCCTTTCCAAAGCATGTAAATTCTGTCCCTCAGAATCCCCTCCAACAACTTACCCATCACTGATGTCAGGCTCACCGATCTGTAGTTTCCTGGTTTTTCCTTGCAGTCTTTCTTAAATAATGGCACAACATTAGCCACCCTCCAGTCTTCTGGCACATCACCTGTGGCTATCGATGATACAAACATCTCAAATAGGGGGCCCACAATTTCTTCCCTAGCTTCCCACAATGTCCTGGGACACACTGGTGTCAGATCCCAGGGATTTATCTACCTTTAAGCTTTTTAAGACCTCCAGCACCTCCTCTTTTGTAATGTGGACTCTTTTCAAGGCATCACTTTATTTCCCAGAGTTCCCTTGCTTCCATGTCTTTCTCCACTGTAAATACTGATGCAAAATATTTGTTTAGAATCTCATCCATTACCTGTGGTTCCACACATAGATGGCCTTGTTGATTTTTAAAAGGCCCTATTCTCTCCATAGTTACTCTTTTGCCTTAACATACTTGTAGAATGTCTTTGGATTCTCCTTACCCTTATCTGCCCTTCTGATTTCCCTCTTAAGTGTACTCTGAAACTTCTTTTATTCAAGGGATTCACTTGATCCCAGTCCTCTATATCTGACATATGCCTTCTTTTTCTTGACCAGAGCCTCAATATCTTTAGCTTTGCCATCCTTGCCCTTCACACTAGCAGGAACATGTTGTCCCTGAACTCTCATCATCTTGCTTTTAAAAGCATCCCACTTGCCACCCGTCCCTTTACCTGTGAACAGCCTCCCCCCAATTAACTTTTGAAAATTCCTGTCGAAATTGGCCTTGCCCCAATCTAGAACGTTAACTTGTGAACGAGGCCTATACTTTTCCATAACCCATTTTAAAACCAATAGAATTATGATCACTGGTCCCAAAATAATACCTCAATCACTTACCCTACCTTATTTCCCAAGGGGAGGTCGAGTTTTGCCCCCTCTCTGGTAAGACCATCTACGTACTGATTGAGAAAGATTTCTTGAACACACTTAACAAATTTCTCTCCATCCAAGCCCTTACTACGGCAATCCCAGTCTACGTTGGGAAAGTTAAAATCCCCTACTATTACAAACATATTATTCTTACAGCTACCTGCTCCTCAGTTTTCCTTTGACTACTGGCATCCTATAGTACAATTCATCAAAGCGATCACCCTCTTCTTATTTCTTAGTTGCACCCATATAGCTTCATTGGATGATCCCCCAGGAATATCCTCCCAAAGTACTGCTGTGATGTTTTCCCTAATCAAAAATGCCACTCCCCCCCACCTATTTTCTCTCCTTCTATCCATTCTATAATATCTATACCTCAGAACATTGAGCTGCCAGTCCTGTCCATCCCTCAGCCATGTTTCTGCAATAGTTATGATATCCCAGTCCTATGTTTTATCCATCTGCCTTACCTGTCATGCCTCTTGCCCCGAAATAAAAGCATTTGAATTCATCAGTCTTCCCTCACTCTTTGTCGTGCTCTTACCTGCCTTGTCTATTTAACTTGCTCCCTATAACTTCTTGACCTTCTCTTTTGTCTCACTACTGCTTAGGTTCCCACCCCCTCTGCCAGACTAGTTTAAAGCCTTCAGAGTAGCTCTAGCAAATCTTTCCGCCACAATATTGGTCTCCCTCTACTTCAGGTGCAACATATCCCTCTTGTACAGGCCACTTCTGCCCCAGAAGAAATCCCAATGATCCAAAAATCAGAATCCTTGCCCTCTGCACTAGCTCCTCAGCCACACATTCATCTGTCCTATCCTCCTACTCCTATTCCTACTCTCACTCTCACGTGGCACCGGGAGTAATCCAGAGAATACTGCCCTTGAGTTTCTGCTTTTTAATCTCCTGCCTAAATCCCTCTATTCACTCTGCAGGACCTCATCCTTTTTTCTACCTATGTCGTTGGTACCAATGTGTACAACGACCTCTGGCTGCTCATGGTCCCCTTTGAGAATTTGCTGCAATATGAACATTGAGTGTTGAAAAGTAGACTTCTACAGATGAAACTACAGTTACAGCACCCTGTAATCTATTGCAAGGTATACTGGCCTGCTTGATCAATTTCTGATTCTTCCTCCAATTTTAAGAAAACCTCATCCAAGGATGTCATGGAAACACCATAGCTGTCAATTCCGAGATTGGTACGGCCGTCCAAATCTTCAAACAGACCTGAAAAGGGAGAATGTTAACAATGAACTGTTCTATTGTAAACACAACACATCAGCAGGCATGTTTAGGAGATATACCAATCTATAACCTACAATACTTTTTTTTACCCCAGAACAACAATAATTATTACTAATGAAAGTACTTGTTAAATACACCAAAATTAGGAAATTGAATACCTGCAAATTTGTTAACATCCTGAAGAGGTAAAGTATATGCCAGATCCAGCTCATGCAATTGTGAAAGCTCAGCATTTGGTATATGATGTTTGACCAATGATGTCACTTTATCAGGGTAGCAGGACTCATTTACAGACATTCTGTTCAAAATCAAAAATTAAATATTATAGATAATATAACCAGGAATTGACTACTAAAGGCACTGCATGAAATTGGCACACGGTTTCTTAGAACATCATGATTGATTATGTAATCTGCAAATTACACTGCTCCATATCTCAATCTTTATATTGTACATTTATACCAAAATTTTCTATACAAGTAATTTGAATACACTGAAGTAAGCAAAATTCCGAATCAAGGACCCTGAGCCACTGATGAAACGTATCCAAAATGTTTACGTGCAAAGTTGAATAAAACATTTTCTGATGTAACTTTTGTGGATGAAAGCTTAATTTTCACAACTCAACTTTACAAATCCCTGGTGATACCTCAGTTGGAGTACTATGAAGAATGGTGAGCCCTACACTGAAGGGAAAAGTGAAAACGGGCTTATATAGGGTACAGATAAAGTTTGGTAAGGTATTACAGGTGATGAGGGACTTCAGTTATGAAGGGAGGTTGGAAAGGATAGGGCTGTTGTCCTTGAAGAGCGGGGTTAGGAGGATTTCAAGATAATGAGTGGTTTCAATAAAGTGGAGAGAAAAATATTTTCCTCCAGCAGATTGGTAAGTAACTAGGAGTCACAGGTTTAAATTTATTGGTAAACTGTTTAAAACATATTCTCGATGTAATTTTAAAAGGGACTTGGATAGGTATTTGAGGATGAAGGCTGTGAGCATGGATTTCTTACAGGAATTAAAAATCTGATAAGCCAGCTGCACATGGTCCGGGGTTGGGTAGTCGTTTGAGTGACTACATCCACAGCATTTCACCTGCAAATCCAAGCTGAGCCTTTTTCCACGGGTTGAAATTGTATAGTGAATAGAATACTACAACACCTTTGTCTCTTTGTCAGGTGAAATGTTGGAACTTAGCTGTCCAGGTACCTGAAGAATACTTTAAATAGCACTATGGCCCTGTCCACCTGTAGAGATTACATAAATTAGGCTTGTTTTCTTTTCTCTAGAACTTAGAGGGTTAAGGGGAGATCTGATCAAAGTCTTCAAAGTCTTCAAGATATTAACAAGACAGGGTAGATAAAGATAAATTATTTCTACTGGTTGGGAATTCTAGAACTAGGAGGCACAGTCCGAGAATTAGAGCCAGACTGTTCTGGAGAGAAGTTAGGAACCACTTCTATACACCAAAGGGCAGTAGATATTTGGGACTCTCTTCCACAAATGGTAGTGGATGCTGGATCAGTCATTAATTTTAAATCTGACATAGATAAATTTTTGTTCAGCAAAGGTAGTGAGGGAAATAAGCCAGCAGCAGATATATGCAGTTAGGCCACAGATCTGCCACTATTTTACTGAATGGTAGAACAGGCTTGAGGGGATGAACAGCCTACTCCTGTTCCTACGTTCCTAGCTTGACGTGTGCACTGTTGGTGACAAACAATGTTATCATCAGCAATGCTTTCAGAAGGTCTTAAGTCTTGTTCAGCAGGATACATCTGCTTTCTTGTCCCTCCATGATGAATAATTTGTAGATGACAAAGAGACGAAGAATGACTTCCCTGATGGGGATTTACATGCAGATTCTTTTTTAGGACAATTTGCACACTTAGCAAATTAAACGCATTACTGTTGGTAAAAATTATAGTCAAATAGAGCCTTCAGCTCTTCATGAATACAACTGTTAAATCCCTGCACAGTGTGGAGATTGACATTTTTTTCTTTGCAAAGAATAGGCACACTTGATGAAGTCAATGCCATATAGTAAAAGGCATATTTCATTTATTGAATACAGTTTCCTGCACCTCCTGAACTGATGTTACAGAGATCTCTCCAGTGGATGATGGGAAGGAACAAAATCCACAGGAATTGGGGGTGTGGTCACCTTTATCTCCCTGGGGGCATAGTCTCAAATTCCGGGAGCTTTTCCAGATTTTGGACAACAACCTCAGCTGGAAATCTGAATCCCAGAGCCCATATACAATGATTTCCTGGAGATGACCAATTCAAATCAACTTGAGCTTAAATTACAATTCAGAATGGTTGCACTGAAATCACTCCAGGCTGCTTCTAGACTTGACATCACTGAAGTGACTAATAAGGAAATGAGGTTCCATTTAAAAATATCAATATCAGCAAAAAGTTCATCAGGCTTGAAGTGTCAACTTAAGAGTTCAACTGTTTTCTGAAAGTTCTTTGCATCTGTCCCTCATTTCTATTAGCCACTTTATTTTAAAATAATATGCCCTATTTTTGGTAAGCATTTTTAACGAGTTATATATTCCAACGCTGTACGATGCTTTCTTAGGATTGGGCAACACAAAATATTTCTAAAAGAAATAATTTGTAGTCACATCCCCTGCTTTCTATGAACCTAATATTATTACACACGCTCCCCAAAAGTCCCAGGACTTGTGGAACAAAAGCAGAAGTTGCTGGAGAAGCTCAGCAGGTCTGGCAGCAAGGAAGGGTCCAGTGACCCTTCCCCGAACCCGAAACATTACCTCTGATTTTTTCTTTGCAGATGCTGTCAGATCTGCTGAGCCTTTCCAGCAACTTCTGTTTTTGTTCCTGATTTACAGCATCCGCAATTCTTTTGGTGCCAGGACTTTTGTTCTATTGGCAACTGCATCACATGTAATCACAAATGTGTCAACTTTTGACAATTTCTAAAATAGGCATAATACCCAACATTATGTCCCTAAGTAGATTTCATATTGAACCCTCAAAACGCACATGTAATACTTTACCTGAGGTTATAGCCCACGCCAAATTTTGACTTCAGGAACAGTGAGGAGCCAACACATTTGAGCTGCCCTTGTGAGATGACAGCTTTACGATCTATATCAAGACAGACAAACATACACAGAATACATCAATTCCACCAAAGATTTTATGACAATTATAATGCCATAAGTATCACGATCTGCTATTGTGAAATCCTTGTGTTCACATAAAATTTAAGTGAGCACTACCAGAGTCAAATGGTAAATTATTATTTAAACAGATATGGGTGGTGATCTGTATGCTGTGTTTTATAAATAAGCATGTTATTTTGACATAAAAGGAAGCAAAGTTTATGACTGCATTCCATTGCTAAACTGTTTTTCAACAGTTTGTGTATTTTCTTTCTTTCAAATTGAAAAGAGATTTGAAACTAAATAGGTTTCTTCTAACAGCAGCACAAAGAGGTTTAAAGAGAAAATTAAATTTTGAGGAAACTTGAGCTCTGTAAACATAGCAAGTCAGAGCATTAAAATGCCATAATCCGCACTAACCTGCCAGAATATCAGCTTCATCTATGAAATGAGTGGTCAACAGTATGACCCTTCCTATTTTCCGCTTTTTCAGCAATGCCCACACTTGCTGTCGAGAACAAGGATCCATTCCAGCAGTTGGTTCATCAAGTAGCAAAACCTTTTGAGATGGCGAGAACAAGCAATACTACAGATTAGCCAAATTGTAGAAAAACCAATGAATCCTTTCTTACAGAGAAAAAGCTACAAGTTTATAAATACTGTGTTCTTGCATTAAAATAGTTGATGCAAGCATCCTCCAAATATAGATGAGGTACATTTATTATTCTGAACTCATCTGTTAAGAAATTAGAAAAAACAAATCATTTTGTAACATTGTGATTTTGTTAAATAAAATAACTCAACCAGAGAAGAATTACTTCAAATAAAAAGGCCATTAATGCTAGAATTTCAGTGCCAAAAGAAACATGAAGAAAATTGACAATGAGAACCAAAGGAACACAGGAATACTATTTTATCTCTCCATCCAATACCTTAAGCTAAAACTGCACAGAGCAAACATACAACCGGCAACTATGAAGTAAAACGACCTGCTGCTTAGATAACTGGTGACAAGAGAATTGCTCACATTTTCTATAATTTGGAATATCTTTGAGAAGTGTTTATTTGGACTGGTAGATACAAAGGTTAGCACTTTGTTCTTTTTTTTGGGGAATATCACGAGGCATATCAAAAAGATGAAAATCTTTCTGCGTTAGCAGACCTTACTGTAATCATTATTTATGTGGAGTCTTAACAGATTTCATTTTAGGTCCGTGTTATTTGATGCACTTTTCTCATAATATGAGAAGGGAAATCAATATATAGGCCTGTTGGAAGTAAATTTACTGTCCATTCATAAAATTCTACACTAAACAAGTGAAATTATTTAAAATGAAATGACAAAGAAGTACTTATGTTTCTAAACATTTTATGCTCAGAGATGAATAGGAAACTTTACAGGATTCAGCAATTCACTTTTCAATTACATATGGGTCGAGATTTCACTTTTATAACATGTTATTCTGGAGTCTCCACTTCCATAGTTAAATGTGGAAATCCAAAAGCCCTGCTCCTCCACAGGATGCACCATTGTTTCATTCCTGACAGACTCAGTACGGAAATCAGCATGATGGTGTGAATTTGGGGTATTTACCCAAGGTCAGAACTAATCACGCTTGTCAAAGTTAAGGCTGTTTGTGTTTAGGAAATAGTGTATTATAATCAATATTATAAATGATAAATAGATAACAACTTCTTTAGTCTTGGAAAATTATTTTTTCACAAGTGGAGTCTCATTCCCTAGGAAAATTGTTTCAACTTTATGAAAATAAAATATTCATTTTTACTTTTACTGTTTGTCTCTTTTAACACTCTGCCTTAATCACAATTGTATTTCTCAATCTATTCCCCTTTATCTACATCATGTAAATCTGATGTATATTTCCTGCCTCATATCGCTCGGTGTGGACTCTGTCGCAAAAATCTATTCAGTTACCAAGCTACCAATCTATCCAGTTACCAAAAACTACTGGTCTCTTTTCAAGGACATAAGAATGGAAAAGACAATGGATTTGTGGATATTTTCATTGGGAATCTGATGAAAAGCCTCTTGGTAGTTGTCAGCAATGTGTACCACAAAAGCAGCTCCTTTAGAGCAAAATTGGGGTTCACTACAAATTTGAGTGACAAGAACGGCACATGGTAAGATGGGGCCTGTATTGAGCAACAGGATACCATAGAACGAGGATAGGAAGTTAATGATATAAATTTGGTAAGATAAATCTCACCAGACCTTATGGTGACAAACCCTCCAAAAAACCGACCAGAGCTAACATTTACTGAAAAAATGTCAGATTTAACCCACTCGACAATTTATTTTCCTCCTAGTCTGGTGTCATCAGCAAATTTAGGTACCATAAATTTGGTCCCTAAACCTAAGTCAATGATATAGATTGTAAATAGTTCAGGTGCCAGGTCTGATCCTTGTGGAATTCCACTAGCTGGACCTTGCCAAACCAAGAAAGATACTTATTGTTACTTTCTGCTTCTTCTTAGCTAATCGATATTAATATGTTAGCCCACACCATTTCTCTTATCTTAGAGAATCCATCACAGTGCAGAAGGGGGCTGTACGGCCCATTGAGTCTACACCAACCCTCCAAAAGGCATCCCACCCAAACCCAGTCCCCTACCCTATAACTCTGCATTTTTACCACGGCTAATCCACCTTGTCTGCAGTCCATGAACTCTATAGACAATTTAGCACAGCCAATCCACCTAACCTGCACATCTTTGTAGTGTGGGAGGAAACCAGAGCACCCAGAAGAAACCCACACAGACACAGGGAGAATGTGCAAACTCCACACAGAAACTCCAAAAAATCCTTTGGTTTTTGCAGCAAAAAACAAACCATATAAATTTGAATCGGCACAAGACAACAGCGTGTCACAGGAGGCTCCACAGCACTGAGGATGTCACCTAGTAAGGGGTCGAAGCATCTGCTATCAAACCTCCCAGCTCAGTGAACACACCAACATCTACAGGTTTCACTTTATCCATTTCTGGTGTATTTAATCAAAAAACGTGAGTAAGTTAGTTACAAACATGATTTCCTTTTCACTAAATCATGTTGACTCTGCTTGATCCCATTATGTTTTTTAAATACACTGCCATAACCTCCATAATAATGGATTCCAGCAATCACCATTTTACAGATATTAGGCTGAATTATCAGAGCTTCCTGCTTTCTGTCTCCCTTTCATTTTTAATAAAAGGGTGTATCATTTGCTATTTCCAATCTGCTAGGACCATTCCAGAATCTAAAAAATTTTGGAAGATTATACATAATGCCTCTATTCTTTGAAACCACTTCTTTTAAAACAAAGCCTAGGATGCAGGTCATATGGCCCTAGCAGATAAAGTGGGACTGAAGTTTTGGAAATGTAAAAGTAATTTTTTTAAGCCATTTCAACTGCACCTTTCACTTCACTAACTGGAGTATTACTGGGTGAAAGTTTATATCACTGATTAAAATAAAAAGCTTAACCATACCTACAGATCCACCACTGATGTCTCACCTTAGGGTCCCCCAAAATTGCCATCCCCATTGAAAGTTTCCTTTTTTGTCCACCACTGAGTTTTTCTGCACGGACATCCATAATTGCTTCCATATCCAGTTCTTTTATGACATTCAGCACCTGAAAAAAGGCAATAATGAAAAGATAAATTAAAAAACAGATTATTTTCAAAATAATTTTGAATAAATGCATTCAGAAATACTAACTAAAAATCACTTCGACACTGACCAACACAAAGATCAGTCATGATGCTAATTACTATCTAAATATTCTTTGTTTCATACCAGGACAACATTAAAAGCACAAAACTCTCTATCCATATCTTCACCTGTGGTTCTACTTCCTGTGCTAGCAAATTTCTTCTGAATTCCCTATTTGACTTCTTGGTGACAGTGCATTGTGAAACATTCTACTTGATGATGGGTGACACAAAATTCACGGGGTCAGGTCCCCAGGACCACTGTGCTCCTGGGCTATTTTCTGAAAGGTACAATGGAACTTCAGCCTTTTGCTCATTTTAAGCTTAAAAAAACGTTAGAAGGCAACTCCATCATGGTATGCTCTCTCTGTCACTTACCTGGAAAGGCATCCAAGCTGCCAATCTAGAGGACCTCTAGTTAGCTTTGAGTCCTCAACCACCTTCCTTAATTCAAAGGAATGCCTACTCTCTGATCACTAATCAGCCAATTAGTGGAAAATTAGCATTTATTTATTTTTCACATTCAATTCAGGTTTCTAATCCCCATTTCAGCTTAATCATAGACTGCTGAAACCCAGGGAAAAAAAGTTCTGTCCTCTGTATTTTCTATCAAACTCTTCCATTAATTTGAAAACTCTCAATCTGTTCATCCTCCAATCTTTGCCTTTCAAGACAGAAGCAAGCCGATCTGTTCATCCTTTTCATGACAGTTTAGAACTGTGAGGCTATATCTATCTTTGTTCTTTAGGTGAAAATCTTTTATGCACCTTTCCAGTGCTTCTCTAACATTTTATGGTATCGCTACCAGACTGTACACAGAATTCCAATGAGGTCCAACTAACGTTTGATACAAATTTAGCAGACTGTTTCTAATTTCACTTTGTGATGGAAGGTGTGATTTATATATGTTTTAGTATTGTTTATTTTAAGAGGTTCAATTTTGAGTTAGAGACATGCAGGACCTGGTCTATGTATGTTTGTATGTATGTGCAGAGATTTAATGTTTAACTTGTAAGACTTTCTGAAGCCATAGTTTATTTAAAAATACTTGAGAGATATAGTTCTTAGGGTCTATGGGAATTTGTTTACACTGGTAGAGGTTTTACTAGTGAACAAAGAAAACGATGCAGTGAATTAGGCTTCAGTTAGAAGGATATGGAATTGTTTGGGTTAGGGAAGACACCCATTCGCTTGAAAAGCTCTTTTGGTTTCAGTTCAAATTTGCAGAAGTCATGTTTCAAGCCGTGTAAAACAGCCTTCCCTTAAGAAGGTTACCTCATTTAAAGTAAGGAGTTTAGTTTGAAAGCTCCCGTCCAGAATTGGTTTCTGTAACATCCTGAAGAGGTTGTTTAAAGCTGAAAAAGTCTAAGTTCAGTTGTATGAAGACTCAAGGAAGACACTATCAGATTCTTGGGACCCAGAATTGAAGCATTAAAATTAAGCTCTATGTTTTTGATAGAGAATGAAATTCTCTCTGATGCTTGAGTACTGTAAAGGGGTGTTGTTGGGATTAATGGGATTGTATTTTATTGAAATTGTTAATCATACAGCACAGAAACAGACCCTTCGGTCCAACTCATCCCACACCAAAATGGTAACAAAATGTGTTCTATCAGATTGCAACCTGGGATCCGATTTGTCCAGTAATAGCATTAGCTTGGATTATTGTAAGTTGTAACTTTCCAGAAATAAACCCTTGTGCTTAGTTTGCTTCTGTCATGGTCTCTGCAACCTTTAGTGATTTGTACATTTGTATCCTCAAATCCTTTTGCACTGTCAACCTATTTTGGTTCTTGTTTTGCAACTTATAAGATACTTCATTATTTTTCTTACTGAAAAACAATTCTTATACTGAACTGTAACACAAAAATTAAGGTTGATCTACATTCTTCCTGCCTTAATTGATAAGTAGAAATGGGAGGATATCTGGAAATTATAACATTTTTAAAGACTTGAGATTTTTGATGTGATTGTAAAGATTATACTTTGGTTCTGATATTTTTGGGCTTTGATCCTCAAAGAAGTAGGGTCAACTTTTACATGAGGTATGTAAGAAATTATGTTTTGTTTTAAAGCCAAAAACCATTTGAGACTGACATTTGCAAAAGATTGACTTTCAAATGAATACATATGGTTTCTGTGCTGTTCTGAAACAGAATTTTCAATGTCATTATTGTAATGAAAGGTAAATTCATACGTTAGATTTGTGACTTTGACCAATACCTGGCCATTTTTATTGTAATCAGGTACAAACAAAAATTATTTACTTGCTTGATTAATTTCTTACATTTATATCCTCATGAATAAAGCCTAACAATTTAAAAATGCAAACTGCAAAGGAACAAGCATCAAAATTGAATTAGGAAGTAGCATTAAAAAGGGTCTGTATGCTCTTCGCAGACTTACCTCTTTATCAATTTCCTGTGCTGTGATTCCTTTGATCATGGCAAGAATTTTCAAATGTTCCTTTACTGTAAGACTGTAAAATAGGACATCAAACTGTGGACAAACCCCCATCATCTTTCTGATCTGAATTATTTCATCCAATTCAGAAACTCTGTATCCATAAACTGTTGCACATCCTAGGAGGTAGGAAGAAAAACTCACATTAAATCCTATTACTCATAGTCCTGATACAAGCAGCTTCCTAACATGTATGCAAATGAATAGTAATTCATATAAATTTTCACCTTTAGAATATTAGCATATTTTCATGTCATTCAGAAAAAATCTTATTATTCACACAGAACAGAGTAGCATAGGTACTATACTCACTGAGTGAATTAGTATGACCATAAAAACACAACGAAGAGAGTTATACTACAATAATTCTACTCCAGCATGACCAACACATTAAAAAAAATGAAAAATTATCAGATCGATGATAGATTAGAATTTGCTAGTAACGCAGCCTTTTGTGAAGAATGCTGGTTGAATACTGCTCACTTGTAAAAATGACTTGATCTGGTTCCCACTTTTAGTCTAGTAAATTCAGTGTTGGAATTTTGGCAAGCCATCTATAGAGATAGGTTTTTCCAGACTTTGGGACATTGCTGGAAATTTAAATATAGTTAATTAAGTTTTGTATTAAATGTTTATCATTCTTTGGAAACCAAGATTTATCTTTTTATTTTAAGGTTGGATTTCTATTTCATAATCTTTTTGATGGCTTCTAATAATAAGCTTCAAGGGAAATAGCACAGTGGTATTTTCACTAGACCACTAAACCAGCGAGCTAGGCTAAATGCTCTGAAGAAATGGGTTCAAGTCCCACCACAGGTAAAATAAATAAATCAGGAATTAAAAGCTAGTTTAACAGAAACCAGGCAACAATTGTTGAAAAATCCATCTGGGTTATTAATGTCCTTTAGGAAGGAAAATCTGTCATCCTTATCTGGTGTGGCCTACATGTGACTCCAGACTCAGTGCAACGTGGTTGACTCTTATTAGTCCTCTGAAATAACCTAGGAAACCACTTAGTTCAAAGGCAATTAGGGATGGCCAACAAATGTTGGCGCAGACTGCAATGTTATTATCCCAGAAAAAGAAAACAACTTTGCAGATAAATTAGAATGCAAAATATTTGTTCCACTTTGATAGTCTAATGAAAACATACTTAAATGTACAGGATTTCTATTCTAAGGAACTACAGATTTTAGAAATAAGTTAGCGATATAAGAGGAGATAAACGTTATTTTACAATGGATTGGGTATGCTTAACAGAATGTATGATCTCCTTTTGCGTATTAAAATGATATGTGGCAGTCAAAGGTACTGCAGCACTGCGTGGGGCTGTCAACATAACATAACATAACATTACATAACAAAGTTACATGCAAGAGTCAGAGCAGATTATCAGACACGGCAAAGGGTTTACAGAAGAGAAAAATATGGGTTTCGCAGCTGAACAGCAATTGACCCCGCTTGCTGACGGCAAGTATTGAGAATAAGCTCTTACTCACCAACAGAATTTTCTGCTTACTCAACTGCAACAACATGTCTTGGCTGAAGTCCTACTCTAAGCACCGGCATCTAATCAACTGACTACCATCTTCTTATTTCAAAGTTAAGTTCAAAATCCATCCACCTAGACTGCCCCAGGGAAAGAAGGTCCAGAACTGTCTCAATGTCTCAAGATTCAAACAGTTATGAAAAATATCTTTCCCAGAGAAACTTGAAATTTGCCTATTATAGTGAAAAAAAAGTCAACTGCATGGAGAATAATTAGGTAACCTTCAAGTATTTAGTGTAATCCATTGTTCAAGAGGGTCCTAGCCCTACCTTTTGTAAGAAACATCATTGGTTCAATGAAAACAATGAGATAATCCAGAAATAATTGGAGAAAAACAAAACCTCTAAAAGATTTTGTAGGCCAAAAAGTTTACCTCAATGACAAGTCACCACTATCCAAGCTTGATGTCTGCAGAAGTAGCTACGGGACTGTCCAAAGCAAGGTCAGAAAGGGGCATGACAAGGCAAAGACTGTTAAAGATTCTATGATAATCCGGAATTTGTCTATGGGTCTCAATCTATTGGTCCATCACCAATCCTTGGTGCTGACAGGTCAATACTGCTTGCAGAAAACGAAAAATTCTAGAAATATTAGCTGTGTACTTTAACTGCAACCTCTTTTATCAATTAGCCTTCATCCATCAATGAGAAAAGACAACAAGTTGTCACAGATCACACCAACAAATGTTCTCTTGATGACCAGCCATGCTGGTGGAAACAAATGTTATCAAATTCCTGTCTACCAGGAAAAATCCACTACCCGAGCTGAGGTCGACAGGTTGGAGGTCAGAAACTGGGGAAGAAACTCATAACTCTTCCAGTCTATTTTAGAACAAGGAGCCAGCCAGAAAGAGTTCAAAGATGTCTCCACTATCCACTTTTACAATTGGAAAGGAACTTGCCATTCTTGCAACTATCACAGAATTATCTCCATCATTTCCATTACCAGCAAAACCTTCACCAAAATTCTGCTGAATTGCTTAGTGTAATATATCAACCAAGGTGCTCTGCCAGAGAATGAGTGCAGTTTCAGCAAAGATGAAGAGCATCTGACATGCAGTCATTCAGATTCAGGAGAAATGCTAAGAACAGAACATCTGTTGACCTGGCCAAGACCTTTGATGCTGTCACCTGTGAGGGCTTATGGGAGGTACTAGAGAAATTTGGCTGCCCCGTGAAATTCATTGCAATGGTTTAACAGTTTCATGAAGTCATGTTTGCACATGTCTTGAATGATGATGGATCTCCTGACACATTCCCAGTAATGCAGTTAAACAGTGCTGCATGCTAGTGTCAGTACTTTTCAGCATGCTTTACTCAGCTATGGTCTTCAATGCCTTCAATGTTGATGATTGTGGTATCATAATCAGATATTGCACAGTTGGGAAGCTGATCAATCTGAGATGATTCCAAATACAAAACAAGATCTCTGAGGATATGTGACATAATTTGTTATTTGCAAATTCCTGGTTCTGAATGGACTTGTTCTTCAATACGTTCTGCAACTTTGGCCTTACAATCAGTATGAAGAAAAATGCAGGAATGTATCAACCAGCTCCAGGCAAGCCCCATCTCAGCCCAGGTTCCAGTTCACAACCAGAACTTCCTTTGTACAAACACGTCAGTCTTTGGGCACAGAGATCATGTATGTTCCTGGCTTGGGTGGGGAGGGATGTTGGTTGAGTTGACAATAACATTTTCTGTGTAGCAAAGAGAGGATAACCATATTTCTAATGAATATAACTCATACCATGCATTCTCACTGCGAAGACAAACCATTCACGGTACACTGTATTTTCAACTATATCAGCATTCTTAAGATAGTTATTCAGCTTTTGTTAGCTTTAATATGTACACAGATTCACTATGGTGTAAAACTATTTCTGATCTTGCTCTGTGTTGCATTAATGCTTTCCATCTTACCATCGGACAGAGGACACAGTCCAGAGAGAATGCTAATTAATGTTGTTTTCCCAGTTCCGCTGTGACCCAGTAGTGCTGTGATCTGATTTTGATAAATATCAAATGACAAACCTGAAATAAAGTATATTAGACACATAAAACATTCTAAATTCATTTTTTTTCTTTTTGGTTCCTTAGGAAAAAGTCAAATTTATTGTTTCAGTCCTAATGAAACAGTCACCAACTATGAGGCCAAGGCAGGTTTATCCATTCTGAACTAGGGCAGACAAGAAACACATAAATACCGTAGTTCTGATTTCAAAGCCTCATACAGCACTGAAGGTCATCTGTCCATTGAACTTGTACATGCTCTTTGCAAGAACTATTTAAATGTTCCAACCTGTGCCCTTTCCCCATATTTATTCAATTCCATTTTGAAATTTATTACTGAATCTGCAACCCTCAACCTTTCAGGCACTGAATTCCAAATCATAATGATGTGTGAAAAAAAATTCTCTTCAGCTCCCTTCTGATCTTCATTTGTCCTAATTTGCTGACAGGTCCTTATGATGTCCCATCACGGATCATTAACAGCAAAAGCTATAGTACGGCCTGAGAGTAGATTCCCCACTATTGCCATGATAGTATGTTCAAGGAGCCAACTGGACAGAATAGGGAGAAAGTATAAAATACTGAAATAGAGGAAGCCTCAGTTTCAAAAGTAAAGTTCTATTTATGTTCGTCAGTTGAACAGGAACAAAAGGAGCTTTGAATTACAATGAATAGCTTGTGTCACATCACAGGAAACAGTTGCTCATAAACCTGACTCAAGGTAAAATATCTCAAAATGACATGGTACATTACAGCTAAAATGACACTTACTAACGTCAAATAGTATTAAAATCTGTCATTTAAAGAATATTAATAATTTACAGGCACAATAAATAAACATAGCTATATATAGCACAGTGTGGAGCTGGAGGAACACAGCAGGCCAGGCAGCATCAGATGAGTAGGAAAGTTGATGTTTTGGGTCCCCAACTCGAAGCATCAAATTTCCTATTCCTCTAATGCTGCCTGGCCTGCTGCGTTCCTCCAGCTCCACACTGTATCTCTGACTCCAGCATCGGCAGTTCTTACTATCTCCGAACATAGCTACGCATATTGGTATTCATAGACCAGACACAGCAGTTCCTAATTTTTGAATTAAGCAAAATTACCTGCCATTGCATAGGTACAAAAATTAATAATGAACCCCTGCACAGGATTACCAGAGACACAAACCTTTCAGTGCTTCCACTTTTTTCTCTTTTCCTTTATATAACTTGTGAACAGATTTTAACCTGAAAAAGAACCACACAGTCATTGAGGATTGCACTTATCACTGAATAATGGTTATTTAATAAATAGATAAATACACCAAAAAAAAGTAATTTCAGATTACAAAAAAATAATTTCTTAGCCATTAGTCTCTCCCGTTCTGGTTAAAAGCCAAAGAAGATGGGAAAAAATAGGAATGACTGACTCACATATTTGCTGAAGACAAAATCTTAACAATACTGTTCAGCATTTCTACCAATGGAATTCTTTTGTAGTTAGTATACATGGACAAATGGGGTACAATAAAGGCAGTGCTTTCACATGCAAATAAGGGAGACTTCTGGAATTTTGAAACCAAGTCTAGATGAAAAGAAGTCCCTAATTTGTGTGTTAGGAAAGTCGTCAATTAATTAAATTTTCAAAGAATGAGCAGCACTGACATAGGCTGTTCAACTCAACTTGTGCGTGCCAATGTTTATATTCAGTGGCAGCTTCTTCTCACTTTTTATTCAACTCATTAGCAAATCTTTTAGTACTCTCTCATATCTAGCTCCTAAGTGCATTCATATTATTCACCTGAACAACTCCTTCTAACCACACTCTGGATAAAGAGGTTTCTTGCGAAACTAAAGAAGATTTAAGATCGTTATTAACTTCCCTTGCCTCAGTTCAAGATGGTCTTGTTGCTTTATCTCGGTTAGCCTGGGTGTAGAAGCTTTGTTCTAGAGTCTGATCAACTTGTACATGGGGTAAATATTAATAAATAAGGTAAAGGATAAAGTGTGAATATCATATCATCAATGACAATACACACAGAATATCCATTATGCCTTTGAAATT